CAAGCAGTGATTTAATATCCAAGGAACAAAAGGATTGTGCTTCTAAAGCCATTTCCTAAGCAGAAATGACAATCTCCTTGGATTTCCTGCCACATCAATATTTACTGTAATCTAGACTTCAGTCGGAAACCTGATCCTGACTTTTAACGATGGCCTGGGGCCTGCTTTGGTTAACCTTTTTTCCACATTAAACACAAAACAAAAACAACCCGTGCCCCAAAAACCAGTCTACTGTACGTTTGGCCTGGCAATTTAGGAAATCTCCTTATGGATGCCTCTTTGCCCCTCCTTTCGGCTTTCATGTTGCCAAGGAGTTTCGATTCTCTTCTTGTTGTTTCCTGTGAGCTTCCGGTCGAGCCCTGTCATGCTGGACTAGGAGGACTGGGCTGGGGTGCGGCAGAGCTTCCCGTTGGTTATTATATTAATCCCCTTTTCACTTTTCTTCTTACATTAATGATGAGCTTGCTGGCTGAGTTCCAAATGCTTCTGGAAGTTCAAGAGCTTCTTTGCTAATCGACAGCATCAGAGATAGGCTGCATCCGACCTGGAAGGTCCATTGCTTATCGTGCCCAATGGCCATCGGCAGACTTCACTCTTTTACATTTTCATTTTCATCTTTCTTTTTATTTTTGAAGTCAAGTCAAGTCGTGGCCGTGGCTGCATCTTGTGACAATCAAGTCCTGACCTGGGGTAGGTTGGAGGTGAAGCAAGCATCATCTTCGGTTCTCCTCCAGCCTGTGTGCAGTGTTTTTTGTGTGTACCCAAAGATATAATGTGTGCAAACCAACTCTGTGTTTGCAAACTTGTGAATTGTGTAGGTGGGCCTACTGGGGTGCTCATGGTAAGGCCAATGCTGCAGCTGTCTACAGTTGACACATCTGCAAGACACTACCAGCTCCGTGCTAAACAGGTCTACTCAGAAGTAAGTCCCGTGGAGTTAAACGAGGAGCTCTCACACAGCCTTAGGCAGCTGTCCTCTACCCACTTCCCTGGGAGAAGCACGCATCGAATCAAGGATTTTGGAGCACAGTTGGCACCCCGCTGGCCCAGGCCAAGGGTCCTTCTCACCCACCGGCCGGCCAGCTGCCCCCGGGATGCCTCAAGCAGGGCTCGAGTCCGACAGCGCCCTGCTCTCCGCTTCCCCAGCCGCTGGAGTTCACGGGCTTCCTGCCCCTGAAGCCAGTGGGAGCGAAAGGCCATCAGCCCTCAGACGCACGCACGGCTTAAGTGGGCATCCTGCGCTGAACAGCAGGTCGGACTCTCTGGCCGCTTCCGGCCCCACCTTTCTAGGATACTTTGATCAGGTCTGGTAGCCATGGGGAGCCACCCCCCTCACAAATGCGTCCAACCCCCTTTAAGGGCCGCCCAAGCACTGGCCTTCACGGCGTCTTGTGGCAGTGAATCCCACCACTGAATGCACGCTGCGAAGAAGACGGCCTTCCTTGACCCTTCCGAATCGGCTTCGGAGGATGTTCCGGCTGGATTTCCGCACCGTGGGAGAGGGAGGGAGGCGTCCGGCTGCACGTGACTGGCTTGTCGCACCGCGAGGATTGCAGGCACCTATGCCGTGGACACGGGACCGACTTCCCGCCGATCCACAGTGTCGGCAGCCGCCTCCAGCGCCAGCCTGCCGTGCCCTGTGGACAAAGGGGCGGGCCGTTCCTTGGAGAATGGACCGGAAGCGGCCGGGACTCTCGCCCAGCCTTCTCCAGCAGCGCCCTCCAGATGTTCTGGGCTACACGCCCCGGCACCCCGCGCCACAGAGCGAGCTGTTGTCTGACACGAGGCAGCTGCAGGTCTGCGACGGGGGCTTCGTTTGGCCCGTCCCTGCTCTTAAAATGGCCTGGATGGATGCTGCATTCCCCAGTCCAGCTCCTCCTCTCACAAGGGCAGCAGAGATGGGGGGGCCCAGTGCTGTAACAAACCCACCCTAGTCTGTGGGGCGGGGGAGTAGAGAAGGGGGCCTTTGTTTGCCAGAAGGAAAAGCACAGGGTTTTTTGGTTTCGGCGTGTGTGGGGGGGTTAAACAGAACAGTGTCTCCCAAACACCCACCCTCGATGCAGCTTGACTGGCAGATGGTGCGCGCAGTTGTCCGTCACAGAAGCCAAGTCTCTTCTCGTCATCCAACCCTGTGAGTTCAGCACTTCCAGCCATGTGGCTCAGGAAGACCAGCTGCTCCTGCCTTCTTCGATGGCACATTGGATCCGGGCTCCACACAGCACCCCCCGCCTAGCAAAATGCCCCCCCCCCCCCGGTTGCCTGGATGGGCATTTTGTGCTTTCATTCTAAGTCATTCTGGACAACGTGGGAAGTGCCTTGCAGCCGAGCATGCTCCAGAAATTATTTGTCCCGCAACTTGCAGCTCAGCATCCCACTGGCTCAGTCACTGCAGATGAGTGCCCAGTCAAGGGAAGGGTGGACCTGCAGGCAGGAGGATCCGCTGCACCTTCCTCCCACTGTGGTTACATAGAAACATAGAGAGCGAGCCAGAAGGGGTCTCCCGGGCCATCTAGTCTGACCCCCGGCTCCAGCTGGCTCTGCTCACGACATGCCCACCATGTGGACGTCAAGCCTATCCTTGGACACCCGCACTGATGGGGCCTCACGACCTCCCGTGGAAGCCCATTCCACGCCCTGGGGGTCCTGACTGTCAGGAAGCACTTCCTGGCATCCCAATTGAACCCGGATTCCCTGAGCTTTGTTCCATTGGAGCTTTGTTCCATTGTTTTTTCTTGCCCTCCTCTGCAGGGGAAAAAAGGTCATGGCCCACCTCTGCGTGACACCCCCACACGTACCTGTATGTCGCTAACAGGTCCCCTCAGAGTCTCCTCCTCTCCAGGCTGGAAAGACCCGGCTCCCTCAGCCTCTCCTCGTCTGGCTTCCCCTGCAAGCCAGCCATCATCCCCGTGGCCCTTCGCTGCACTGAGTCCAACCTGGCTACACCCCTCTTGTAACGATGGTCAACGCCTCAAGTTTGTCTTCTCTTCCTTCATTTCCCCTGGCACAGCTTCTGCATTTTTTAAGGAACACTTTTCTAAGCATGGAGGGCAGGGGTGGAAAAGCCACACTGCGGATGGATTTCCTGCCCGTTCTGCATTTCCAAAGGACACCGAAGCTCCACAGGAAAAGAGCAGCAGCCGACCAGCAGGCTGACTGAGCCTGCCATCGAGATCGGGAAAGCTGCAGGGGAGTTTCCTCCTGTACAAGTGACCCACTGAGATAGGGATGAGCTGTTGGAGGCTTTGGCGGCAGAGCACCCGGCCTTGTTCAGGGAAGGCCTCGGGGTCAGACGCGGAGGTGCGGTGACAGATCGGAAGGGCAGTGGCTCATCGCAAGCATCCCCCTCCTCACGCCCCCAAGGAAGGTCCAGAGCACAGGCAGCTGCACTTCTCCCTATCGACAAGCCAGTTCTAGCCATTCCCACCAGCGGGAGCCAGTCCTGGGCAAAGCCCCAGGAGTCATCGCCGCCCATTCAAAGGCAGGCCACCCCACAGCCTTCCCGTTGCGACGTGGACGGCTCGGAGCAGTGCCACTAGTGGTCCGCCCACTGCAGCGTGCATTCGGCTAAGCCCGAGGAGGGCCACGTCCTGTGCGTCCAGCACTCTGGCCATGCGGCCCTCCAGGCCGTAGTTCCAGCTGGCCGGAAAGGCCCAGAGGAGCAGGCCAGGGTGTGCTGCCAGAGAGCGCAGCTCCCCCGTCGCTCTTCCCACGGATGGTCCATGGAGACAGGGAGGGGGAGGCTCCAGGGCATACAGCTTAGCATTTGTCCTTTTTCCCGTGGCCCTGGTCCCAGGCTGTCTTTGGTAGCTAGCACTGCCCGCTCCTTCCGGGCACAGCCGCATCGCACGCATCCCTCGTCACGGGACAGCCAGCCTGGCGTGGCCGTGCTGGGCTCGGAGGCTCCAGGTGCAAGGCTCCGCTTGGCCACGAGGCTCCGGGTGGCTCTGGGCCAGGGTGATGGCGATGGCGATCGCAGCCCTGAGTCCTGCCTTGCTGCGGCCGCATTGGCCCTGGCGAGGACGCCGCTCACCCGGAGTGGCTCCTTCTGGCTGCAGTGGTCCTTGAGCCCCAGGTGGCGGGAAGGGCAGGAGGGCCCCCAGCTGCCCCGACGCAGAGCGAGCGCCACTGGGGCAGCTCCTGGGAGCCGGGCTGGGAGCGCTGGGGAAGGCAGTGGCCACCTCCCCCGGCAGGGGCCAGTTGCGGCGCGTGGCCTGACGCAGGCAGGCAGGCAGAGCGAGTCCGAGTCGCGGGCGGATTCGAGCTGGACACTGGAGGGGCCGCTTGCGGTGAAGGCCCTGAGCTAGCCGGGCACAGAGGCCCCCGCACCGGAGGTCTTCCCGCAGAGGCCGGGCAGCCAGGGGGAGACCTGGTCCTGAATCAGGCGGGGTCTTGGAAGCCCCTCCCGCTCCACGACTCTGCCTCACACCCCACGAGGCGCCGGGAGGTGTCCTTGCGCGGGTGCGCATGCGTCTCTCATGCCTGTGGTGTTTCCCTCTCGCCTTTCCGCCTTTCCCTCTTGCAATTCCAGCGGGCAGTCAGTCCCTCAAGGATGTGGTCCACAAACCCCTTGGGACACAGTGGTGCTGTTCAGATGATGATGGTTGTTGTAGTAGTCATAGTAACTCAGATGAGATGGCGGAGCGGAAGCATCCCCCATCCCCCAAGAGGCCAGCTTGGAGGCAGAGCGGCAGGCCAAGCGGGAGTCCAGCGCTCGGTCTGGGAGGACGGCTGAGACTCTGCCATGTCCCCCGGCTGGACCGGCTCCGTTGGTCCCCGGTCGTTGGTGGGATGAATGCCACAGGCCATCCCAGTCAGCTGCGGGGTGGGGGCTGCATTGCCGCAGAGGGCAGGCCGGGGCCACCCTCCCGGCCCCATTGCCCCGGTTCCCTGCTTGCTGCCCCCGCCTCGGGGCTGTGCGGGGACCCAGGCCCAGGACAGGTGCAGTGCTCACCTGCCCCTCCACAGACCTCACTCGCCCCCTTCCCCCCTCTCTCCCGCAGGTACCTGCGCACCCTCTACCTGGGCCTCCAGAGCCGCTGGCAGTCGGAGCATCGCAAGCGCCACTTCTACTGGAGGATGATGTTTGAGAGTGCCGACATCAGCATGCTGCGCCTCCTGGAGACCTTCCTCAAGAGCGCGCCCCAGCTGGTGCTGCAGCTGAGCATCATGGTGCAGCAGAACCGCATTGAGCCGCTGCAGGGTGAGTGCCGCCCCGAGAGCCACACCTGGGCCGTCGGTCAGCTGGCGCCTGTTTGCCGTGGCCCAGACAGTCCCTCTGCTGAGATCCTGGACCTGGTGCGGAGGCAACACCTGCCGTGAACTGGTCCCTTCCCTTCCCTTCCCATCTCCCTGCTTGTTCCCAAGACAAAGCCGAGAACAGAGGCAGCTGCTCACAGAAAGAGCTGAATCCGAAGTGGAAATTTGCCCCACCCCTCCCGTTCCAGTAAAACGCCTGGCTCCCCCCGCAGGGTGGCTCTTGCTGCCTGAGGGCCAAATGGGGTGCACGGCAAAGCCCCTCGCTTCTCCCGACGCCTCCCCACCAGCCTGAGGAGTGGGTCTTGCACCCGCTCCCCCTTCCCTCCTGGAAGCCTTTCCTTCCCTCCCAAAGCAGGTGGATTCTCATGCTCTGCCTGAGCAACTTCACTAGGCAGTTGAAGGAGCTTCGAAGGCTTTGCCTTGCCCCCTCCACCTCCGCTTCCTCCTCCTCCTCAGGATCCAATGATGAAGAGTCTGCCATGCATGAGAGATGGGCCACGCTTTACAGAGCCCGTGCCTGTCCGTACAGAGAGATCCCCGTTGCTTTGCCTTCCCCCACTCGGGGGGGTCCAGGGTCGCACGTGTCAGACCAAACGGCGGTTGTAGTCCTTGCAGAGCAAGGTTTGCTGGTCTTCCCAGGGCCACTAGACACTCGGTCTTTGGCAGTCCTGTGCACCATCGCTTGCTTTTTCCTGCTGTGTTTAAAACGGACCCTTGTGATATCTGAAGAGTATTTAAGTTGCGCATGAGAGTTTGAACTGCAATCCTAAACTTATGTACTAGGGAATAAGTCCCATGGGATATTGCGCAGCTTACTTCTGGGTAAGCATACAGAGAATCGTGTCCTTAATTTCCCAGTGGCCTTTGAGCAAACACAGCTTTTCAGCCCTCTTTGTAATGCCCCGGGCAAGTCATTTCTAAATGCAGGGCAAATAAGGCGATTGAGTTTAGCACTGAGAATTAAAATACTACAGGTATTTTGTCCTGTCCCGCCCCCCTCCCCCCGTGCAACACAAGCCTTTCCATTTTTTATGAAAGAACAAAAGCGTTATCCTTTTCCATGCTGTGATAATTTTCAGAAGCGTTATATCTCTTCTTGCCCCAACATCCTTTCCTCTTGTGCACACCGACTCTCCACCTTTCTCCCGCTCTGGTCCCTCCACATTCTGAGTTGTTTCGTTTTGTTTCTTCCATTCTCTACCTCTTCCTTCTTCCAGCCTTCCAGAGGCCTCCTATTTCCCGTTTCAGTCATAAGAATGGCGGCGCTGCAGGCCAGGTGCTGGATCTTCCATTTCATTCACTGTGCATTCATTCATCCTCTCTTCCTGGCCTGCTGGCCACGCCGGGGAATTCAGGCCGGGGAATTCGGGTCTTAATTGCCACATCTGATGGACTGAAATATGGCATCCGCATCCCTGGTTCTTGTCCCTAGCAGCCCCGGGAAGCATCCAGTGTTGTTCCTATGCCACACAGATCCGTTGAGACAGACGGGGCTCGAGTTCGTTGGGACTAGCTAAAGTCTCACTCTTCCAACGGGCCTGATAAGCTGCTCGCCAGTGTTTGGCTGAGGGCTGCCCTGATGTCACGGCTGATGGGGCACGAAACCGTCTCCAGCCGCTGGGCAGGCATGGAGTGCAAAAGGCAGGCGGCTTCCATATAGCCTGAAGTGCCTGATCCTGCCTAATCTCGGAAGCTAAGCAGGGTCAGGCCTGGTCAAAAGCTGGATGGGGGACTTAAATGTTGTGAACCCCCCCAGGGAGCTTTGGCCATGGGTGGAGAACGGCCCCTAATTCCGTTGTTTTTGCTGGCACCCCTTTGGTGTCCCCGGCGGGATTGCTCGGGCTGGTGGAGCATCCAGACTCTGCAGGTTGCTGTCCATCAGCGTTTAGTAGGTTGATGTGCTGGGAGAAAGCAGGCAGTGTTCCTTTATGAGACCTCCCACAGTTGGGTGCCCCTAGAGAAGATGGACTACAATGGCCATCCTCCTGTGTCGATCATGGGAACTGTTGTCCAACACATCTGGGGAATTCCTAGGAAGGGAGGCTGCTGCATCAGCTCTCTTCCCATTTCCTATATGACTACAGAAATCCCTTCCTGTGTCCGTTCCTTTCCAGCTGAAGAACAGAGTCCCCCTTCCAGATGAGAACGGTGCTTCCTTTCTACACTCCACCATCTTTCTTTCGCTCCGTTATATTTTTACTGAGTGGGGAATGACCAGTCTAACTCCTCACTGTGTTCTCCTTACCCTCCGCTTTCCCATGCATGTCTCGTCACGCTCTTGGCCCCTCCGTGTCCGTCGTGCGAACGCGCTCCCTCTTTCCCTCCCTCCCGCGTCCTCCACCTGGCGCTCGAGCCACGCCGCCACCCAGCCTCCCTGCCACCCTCCCCCCGTCGGCTCCTTCCCTCTGGCCTTCCCCTCGGACCATCTCCGAGGCGGTTGGCCCCCCCTAACTCCCCACACCCTCTTCTCTCCCTGTGCCTGCCCAGGCCTCTCGGCTTCTGCATCGCTGGTCTCCCTGGCCTGGACGCTCGCCTCCTACCAGAAGGTGCTGCGGGACTCGCGCGAGGACAAGATGCCCATGTCCTACAAGGGGGCCGTGGTGCAGGTCCTCTGGCACCTCTTCACCATTGCGGCCCGCGCCATCGCCTTCGCCCTCTTCGCCTCCGTGTTCCAGCTGTACTTCGGCATCTTCATCGTCACGCACTGGTGCATCATGACCTTCTGGATCATCCAAGGCGAGACGGATTTCTGCATGTCCAAGTGGGAGGAGATCATCTACAACATGGTGGTGGGCATCATCTACATCTTCTGCTGGTTCAACGTCAAGCAGGGCCGGAGCCGGTGCCGCATGGCCATCTACTACGTCATCACGCTCTCGGAGAACGCCGCCCTGACGGGCCTCTGGTACTGCTTCCGGAGCCCCTACGTGGTCTCCGAGTCCAACGCCTTAATCATCGTCTGCGTCGTCACGTCCAGTTTCGCCTTAGGGGTCTTCTTCATGTTCATCTACTACTGCCTCCTGCACCCCAACGGGACGATCTTTGGGCCCCAGAGCACAGGCTGCCTCTGCAGCGAGGAGCCCTCGGCGGTCCCCCGCGGCGTGGGCCCCCACGGGGACGCGGTCACCAGCCCCCCCCGCTCCCTGCCCAGGACTACAGGGGCCGAGAGGGAGGGGGTCCCAGGGGACAGAGACAGCTGCGTGCCCGTCTTTCAGGTCCGGCCCAGCGTGCCCCCCACCCCTGTGGCGCACGTCCCACGGACAGAGGGCCCCGTCATCCGCATCGACCTGCCGCGGAAGAAGTACCCGGCCTGGGACGCCCACTTCATCGACAGGCGCCTCCGCAAGACCATCCTGGCCCTGGAGTGCACCTCTCCCGCGACGCCGCGCCTGCAGTACCGCAGCGTGGGGGCGTCCCAGGAGCTGCTGGAGTACGAGACCACCGTGTAGCCCGGCGAGGAGCCCCAGAACCACGGAGGGCGCCCGCCCGGGCCCAGCCCGTCCCGCCCCGTCCCGCGGGCCGTGCGGGCTGCCCGGAGGCCAGGGGTGCGGCCTCATGCCCCCTTCCCACTGCCTCTGGCGGGGGGGCGGGTGAGGGCCAGGAAGATGAGCAGCGGCTCCCCCCACCCCCGTTCGCAGTTTTGGTTTGCCGCCCCTCCTCTGCACAGCACTGACGGCTCCGGGCCTGCCCCCGTGCGGCCCCGCTCACCGAAGGGTCCGGAGAGGCCACCTGGTGCTAATTCCCCTCCGTGGGCCCCCTGCACGGGCCGCGTGGCGGGGGCGGCTGCACCGGCTCCTTTGCTGCCCGGCTGGTGCTACGCCACCGGCGGGCCCAGAACGAGGGACACCTTCCCCACCCTCCTCTGGAGGGGGGGCCACGGCCTCTCCCCAAATACCTCACCTGTTACCTGAGCCCGGGGAGCTCGGGCCTCTCCAGCCAACGGATCCTGTTACCTCTGGTCATCGGGAGTGTGGCGGGTGGGCGGGAGGCAGGCTCCCGGCTGTGGCCAGGGGAGGGGGCCCGGGGGGCGCTGGGGAGGCCCAGGGCGGCTGCTGCGGTGAGTCCAGGGGGACCCTCGCAGGCTGCGTGGTGCATGCTGGCCTCGGTGGAGTTTGGGGCAAGGCTGGGGTTTACTGCGTGGTTTGTTTTGTGCGTAAAAAGGACCGGGGGGAGGGGGTGCAGCAATTTTGTAAGCAGAAAATCTGAGCTAGAAATCAGATCCAAACCAGTCACTCCTCATCTCGTTCCCTGACACCCCCCCCCATCGCGACTGCTTCTTCGGATACCCCCCTAATTGGGGAGGTTTCCCCAGAGATGCAGGACCATCTGGGAAAGTGATGAAAATGAGCAACGGGTCGGGGGTCCTGCTGGGGGTCCAGTTCTTCTGGGGGGGGCAGGGCGTGTGCCACTCGCATGCCTGTGCTGGACCCCCTGGCCTTCTGGCCCCTGCCAGCTCTGCTGTTCTGTGAGTTTATGATTTACGTATGTGTAGATGTAAAACTGACACTGAGGGCTTCCAGAAAGCGTGGGTCTCGGCCCATGGCCCGTGGAATGCCAGGCCAAGAACAGGTGTCCCTTGTTTCATGCCACTTTAACTCCCCACGGACACAACTTCCCATGGGAATTGTGGCCAGTGGAAGGTGCTGAGCATGCTCCATCGAGACTTCCCTCGCCTCCCACACAGAACTACGGTTCCCAGCATTCCTTGGGGAAGAGGCATCCACGCTATGGCCATTTCACCCATCTTTCCTAGCAAGGTGCCGTGAGTGCTGCAGCCGGGGGGGTCTGAAACAGAGCTGGCGATGGCTGCCTTCTCTCAGTCTCCCGACAGTTTTGTTCCTCCTGCTGCACAAAAAGTTCCACTCGGTGCTGATCACTTGAGACCCACGACGCAGCTTTGAGCTTCTTGCATACCGGGGGCTTTTGGGCATGGCTCAGACTAAACAGAGAGTTCCTTGCCCCAAGGATCTTACAGTGCAGAAGAGCACAGAGAAAGGATGGGGCAGGGGGGATCTTGCTGGGAAAAGGAAAGAAACGAAAAGCAAAAAATGATCACTATTCATATAGGACTCGTTTCAGTCAGTTATCCAAAGGCTTTTATAAGGCCAGACTTTTTTAAAATTGAAATTAGGGTGCAAGCTGTGTCTGATCCCAAACAAGACCCATAGCACCACAAGGATTAGCTCTTAACGGCCACGGTCTTGTGCTCACTTTCTGGGCATCCATCCCCCGTTGAATTCAGGGGCTTTTGCTGCTGAGTGGACAGTCTAGGATTGCACATTTCATGTTCCCAATGGGGGAGGCAAAGGCAAGCTTTAGAGAAGCACAGTATTCTTCTTCAAGCGCAGGTGCTGAAAAAGCAGAAGAGTCATTTTAAGAGGGGGGACTGCCCCAGGCTGATGTTAACCTCAACAAAGCCGAGAAAGCACAAGGAGGAAGAACCCTAAACAGGAACCGAATTGGCTTGCAAAGCAGCTCCTCTTGCTGGAAAATCAGATCACGGAGAGAGAGGAAGAGACAAGCACAGCTGCAAACCTGCATAGCTCAGTCTGCAGAAAAGTGAGGGAACGTGAGGCTTGCTCGCTCTGGGCTGAGGTTACACGAGTTTGCTTGCTGTCCACCCAGCACCCAGAAGATGTAGGTTGACTGTGGGTATTTTAAGCAAGCGTTGCACTGTTGCTTTCCACGAGCTGCCAGAACACACGAGGTTGCCTGAGACTGAGCTGGACTCTTTTGTCCATCCAGCTCGGACCTTCTGGCAGTGGCACCTCGGTGGAAAATGATCCTTTTAGCTGGATATCCAAGGGATTGTCCCTGGAGCCATCTGCTGAGAAGTCGTGTCCTCTGACGCTTTAAGTGGGTCCTTCATTCCTTCCCTCCCTCAAAAATCAGAGGAGCATTAGGGTCTGAAGGGAACCCAAAGCTCATCCAGTCCACCCTCTAAAGCAGAATGTTTTGCGCATCAATTAATCGATCCCATGTAATCCAAATTGCTCAGACTTGCTGGAGAGAGAACTTACTTTGTTCGCAGAGCAAGGTGGGCTCCGTCCAGGGGCTCAAGCAAGAGAACTAAACTTACCAGAACCGTCCTGAGACATTGTACCCTCTTCACCCCTAGAAATAGCCCTGGAGAGAATGACTTTGGAAGGATGCTCAGGCCTCCTATGGCCCCCCTGTAGCAACAGAAGGTGTTGCTAGTCCAAACTTCTGACTTTGCTTTAGCCACCTCAGTGTCCTCCAAACTACAAATCCCAGCATCCCCAGCTGACTCCCAGCATCCCCGGGGGAACGTACAGATTCTGCTGAAAGAGCCCTGGAGAATTAGGGAAGAAAGTGTATCGGAAAATCTTGGACTGTCTGCATAAATTGCGGGTCGTCCTCAGCAGGATGGTTTTTGGTAGCTTTTCCAAGGGCTGAACGAGGCTTGATGGTCTTGATGCATGAAGGAGGCCGCCGGTGTGGTGTGTCTCTGTGTTTTCTTTTACATATCAGTTGCAGTATGAGGCCAGGATATCTGGATCTGAATTGTGGTGCGGGTGGGTGGGTGGGTGTGTGTGTGTGTGTGTGTGTGTGTGTGTGTGTGTGAGGGAGAGGGAGAGGGAGAGGGAGAGGGAGAGGGAGAGGGAGAGGGAGAGAGAAGTTCCCCTTTTGAAGTGTTAGCTGGCCACAGGACAAGGCATGCAGACCCCCCCCCCGTTTTTCCCCTCTTCGGGTGGATGTCCAAATGGGCAACAGACGTACAGGGGGAAGGGACCCGGCCTCCTCCCCATCCACGCGGGGGCCCCAGGCAGCCCCCACAGCCCTCGCAGGCAGCCCAGCTGCTGCACCTTCCCGGTGCCGTCTTTTACTGCCCAGCCCTTGGGTCCCTTTGAGATGAGAAAGCCGAGAAGCACAGAGGAGAGAAGTTGGATTTGGCCACAAGGAGAGCAGCGCCCAGCCGAGCGGGAGCCGAAGACGAAAACGGCCGAGGAGCAACCGTGCACTCCCGGGATCTGGGGGCGAAGGGCCGAAGGGAGAGCAGACACGGCTGGAGAAGGCGGGATGGGTCTGGGGGAATGGGGAAGGAAGCAGGCGAGGAGCCGGGCGTGGGATGGGTGGATCAGGTGGTGGAACATAGGGATAAGCGCCAGGGTCCCAGGAGGAAGGAGCCGGAGGGCAAGAGAAAAGCCATTTGGCACAAGCCGCTGGCAGGGGAACGTGTTCCTCGTGGAGCGGTCGGTGGCTGCTGAACGGGGATACAGCTGCGCCTTTGGTGGTTGCCTCTCATCTATTTATTGGTTTGATTGATTTATATTCCGCCCCTCAGCCAAAATCGGGCAGTTTTGAATGAATGATATGAATGAACCAGTTCTAGCACTTTCATCCCCCAGAGGAGCAGGATGGCTTTTAATTTCCTTTTCCAGGTCAAGTCACTCCAAAGCACCTTACCTTACTGTCGCTGGGAAATCTGCCTTCCCCTCAGCCCTCGTGAGAATTGCAGCTAAACTCAGAGGGAACCTTGGGGGGTGAGGGGGGTGAATGAAGGCAGCACCCCGCTGGCAAAAAAGGGGCGTCCAGCCGAGGCCCCTCAGAATAGATTCGGGGAGAATCAGGAAAAACGTGAGGGGCTTGGCTGGAGGGAAGCGGTGCTGGTGCTGCAGCCGTGGGTGGACTGGCAAGGTGACCCCCCCAGGAGCCCCCCAGCGAGAACTAAGCAAAATGGGCTGACTGGGAAAGGGAGCGGAAAGTCCCCCCGGGACTGGGAATAGCGTTTTCCCTGACCTGGTGTCCCACAGGCACATGGGACGCTTGCTGAGCCGTGCCATCCAGTCACCTCCGGTGACCCTACAGCTGGCAGCTCTCCAGAACGTCCCGTCCATGACAGCCCCTCTCAGCTCCCCTGAGCTCAGGGCTGCGGCTTCCCTGATGGAGGCGACCCATCGCTCCCCTGGTCTTCCGCTGCTCTGACTTCCCCTTGCGCGGTGGTCTTCTCCAGATGGTCCGGCCTTCTCATGATGCCTCCAGCGCAGGACAGCCTCCGTCCTGTTAGCGTTGCTTTGGGGAAGCGCTGGCTCGATCTAATCCAGGCCCCCCTTGTTGGTCTTCCTGTCGTGGAGCTGCGGTCCAGTGCATCGGGGGGGGCACCAGGCGGGAGGGGGGGAGTGCTGTGCCACCTGAATGAGGCAATGGGTCGCAGGTCCCCGTCTCCTCTGGCAGGGGACAGCCCGTGCCATCTGGATGCCGCCTCAGGAAAGGCAGGCTGCCGCCGAGGGCAGACCATAATGGGAAGGGGGGGCTCTTGAACAGGGGCGCTCCCCCACCCCGTTTCTCCGCCCAGTCATCCGGTGGGGGCCTTTCCGGGGGTTGGGGCCATTTCAGTCCTTGGATGGTAGTGGCCAGAGGAGTGGCCGAACATTTGATCCAGTGGTGCCACGGCAGGGCAAAGCCACGCTGAAGAACCGGGCTGGGT